AAACGCGGGTTTTGGAGCGGCTGAGCGCGATACGCGCGTCAGCCCACAACGCATGCCGGTATGCCTCGTAAAGTTCGCACACACGCTCGGGCGAGGACACGATGTATGTGTCGTCTAGGTAGGCGAGTACAGCTTCACCGTCCCTGAGCTGAGACTGCACCTCCTCAAGCGCCGGCTGCTGGGCGAGGGCGTAAAGAGCGGGCATCAAGGGGTCACCTTGTTCCCCGCCCTCGCCATGTGCTACACGGTGCGCGACCCCGTCGCCGTCAACCCAAACATTGGTGCTGGGAGTGCCATAGAACTGGCGGGCGAAAGGGAGGAGTGGGCACTGGCTTGCTCCGCCGCAATCCGCCACAGAGGAGGGGGGAACCTTTTAGCGCGTTTCCGCGCGGAGCTCGTCGTAATGCGCAAATTGGCGCTCAACAGGCGGAAAACTGCTGAACCAGATCTGCCTGCAATCCTGAAAGCAGGGGCAAGCATGTAGGAAGCTTTGCTCGCCATCCCCGCATGAGCACGGCTACATTACCCGAGAACTCCTCCCATCAGCAAAAAGATGAAGACCCCATTTCGCCAACGTCTGTCTCTTGTGCAAAAGAACAGAACTCGAGGCGCAGATGGCACGCTCGACTGTACCACGGAGATTGTATAGCCGCGCATGCCTCACAGAAAAGCCTCCAAGCATTGCGACACAGAGCTGGATTTACGTACCTGCGCTTCCAATTGCAAACAGCTTTTGGATCACCTCCCTGTCCAACCCCGCACGAAGGAGTGCGAGCCGTACAACATAGACGGCATAACCTGTGAATGAAACAAGCTTCGCCGAAAGGCTGTATGCAGCTCACGGTTTTCAGCCCAAGATACAGACTCATGAAACTTGCCAGTATTTGCCAGTACATCTTTCAACAAAGCCATCACAATGCTTGTTCCATTTTCGATGGCTGGAAAATAACGCTCAAATAGCAATATCCAGACACGCATGGCACAGGATGGCCCTGCAGCGTGAATTGATGTCACAGGATCTGAACCAACCACAGGCACAGCAGTTTTGGAAGCTGGTTGGAGGTCTTTACGGCTCTCGGCTAAATTGATCAAATCATCGGTGTAAAACAATACAGTCACCCTTGGAGCAGACGGCCCGCTTCCCAAGAACAATCCGGGACAAGCTGAGCGAACACTGTTGTCAAACAGAATCGTGAACAGCAACAGGACGGGGCCATTTTGGCTGAAGGATGCTGAAGGGTTGTTTTTTGTTTTTTCTTTTTTTTGTGCGTGAAACCTGAGGCGTGCTTGCTAGGCGACGGTAACGTGGCGCGGTAGAACCCCTGGAACGCTTCAACCTCTTCTCAGCTTCCTTCGCGCCGCCATCGGTTGTCTGCGCTGTGCATGCGTGAGCTCTCGGTCATTCTGGGTTATGTGCGAGTGACAAGCGTTGTCGAGCGTGACTTCGTGCTCTTGGTGGCCGGCATTCTGGTGACATTGTCCTGGGGTTGTATAAGCGAGGAAGGAATGAGGTCTTGGGTATCCGCAAACAAAACAGCAACAAGAAGGCGGTCATCAATAGGTACTTTGCCGCAGAGCAAAACGAGTGCTCAGCCTGCATGTTTTGAATTGCATTGCCTGGTGGCTGACTGCCGGAAGCAAATCTGGGATTGGAGGAAGCAAGTGGTCATCTTGCAGGTAGGATCGGGGCAACACGATCGGTCATTGAGTTTACCACACGTCACGGGAGTCTCCCAGTGCTTTATCGACCACGACGGGGCAACACAAACGCGTGCATTATCGTGCATTTAGGATGACCGAGTCGACAAGGACCGCAGATTGCTCAAAGCAAGAAGATTTCTGGGGCTGTGGGCATCGATGAGTTCTAACACACCAGGCGTCGTCTGCAAACATCATAGCCTTCCGCGGCATCTCGATGATCCCACACATGATGAGGTACACAGTCTCGCTTGAGGAGTTTCTACTCGCAGATTATGCGCGGAGCCTGCTTATGCAGCAGACCTGTGTAGTTTGGACCAAGCCACCAAGATGTGCGGCAGACTCTGGCGCCCGCCGGACATGGTGAGAAGTCCAGGACGCCATAGGACGCCCGTCTGCTCCAAGAACAAGAATGCTAACCATCTGGAACGGTCTGAATGTTCCGTTTTTCCCCCCACACGTTTGTGGTGACTCTGCGAAGGGGTCCACGTCACAGGGCAAAAACACTAGCATGGCACAGGACGGTTGTCGGGCACGTGCGGCTAGCGTGCGTCGGCGAGGCACTCGTGCAAGGCAGGGGGATCGCCAGCAGCACCGAGCTCTGCAGCCGCAGGGAGCACAAGGAGGGAAGCAGCATCACACCCACGCAGCTTGCGTGACGCCGCGTAGGGAGGCAGGCGCGCCGGCCGCACGGGCTCGCACCAGCAGCCGGAGGAAGGTGACGGTTTCCTTATTGCAGCGGCCTCCAGTCTCAATGCCAACAAGAACGAGGCGGCAGCGGCGGGCACGGAGCAGCTCGAGGTTAGTCTGCCGGCGTTTCGGCTGCACTGCTCGGGCCAAAATAGCCCCACGCTGTGCATCGGCTGCCATGACTATCCTGGTTATGTCTTCGGTTGTTGTTTTCGGGTTACAGGTCCCCAACGCATTACGGACACGCCCCCGATTACTCGCATGGAAAAGCCGGGCTCGATGCTGCCTTTGTCAGTGCGGTTACAGTGCCTAGCTCCTTTGACTTGGGAGCCCCCACTGCAGCGCCTTCCACACCACCGTGGTTACTAGGCAGGGACGCGCCGTCGCCTCCCGCCTGCCCGCCAAGCATGCCCGGTTTGCCTGTGTGATTTCCCTTCGCACCCTCAGGGCCTGCAAACGCCTTTTTGCTGGCCCTCATGCTGACTCAGGCAGGCATGTGTTGCACCTTCGTTGTGTGGCCCACCTGGTTGCCAATGTCCGGGACTTGCGTTGCCCCATACGCCGCGTGTTGTGGCCGCCCCAAGCCGCTGATGTGTTTATGAGGCCATGCCGCGCCCATGATCTCCCGGCGCCACAGCCCGCCCCGGATCACGACAACACGTCGCATCAATAGCACCAAGCCGTTGCACCGCCCCCCCCACCGGCATCGGATAGTGCCTGGCGAGAGTTGCCGGATCGCCACATGCAGTGGGCACCCGTCCTAACAGCAGGCAGCAAGCAGAAACCAAAAAGCAAGAAAACAAAAGCAGTCAAGCAGCAAGCAGAAAACAAAAACAACGGAAAGGACAAGCAAACAACAAAAACAATTCCCCAAAAAAATCCCCCGTTGATAAATCGAATTCCTATCAGAAGTGGCGGCTGCGCTGTCCGTGGAACATAGACTCAAAGGGCAGTAAGCCGGTCAGAGTGCACGCGAAGCGTTTGCACCATGGAGCATGCTCGTGGGACATGTGTCTGTAACCCGCTGCCGTTCTCAACCTGCAAGCCTAGCAAACCCGACCAGTCACGTGAGGCCCGTGACCTTCCCTTCGGAAGTGCCGCGAGCGGAAGCACGAGAAGGGACGCTGCGAGGGGTGCTGCGCGGCAAAGGCCAGCAGACCCGACCATCGCACGACCCATTCCCAAAAGCGACAAGCACCTCCCAGGCTGGGTGCTGCACAAGCAGCCGAAGCTAAGTGGTGGCTTCTGCCAACGACAACCCGATCGTGTATCACGGCGTCACGCATCCGAGTGCCGGAGCAGTATGAGGCGTAACTCATGGGCTGGGCCAAGACTGTCAAGAAGGGCTTTGCAAATTGTCAAAAAGCAGAAAGAAAAGTACGACGAGGAAGATGGCCGCAGTCGAGTGAGGGGCCTTGAACAACCAAGCTGCAAGTGCCGCTGCCGTGGAATCAAAGCAGAAGCGCTGTGGGAAGGGTTCGGTCGCGACTACCAGTCGTGAAGCAAACGTGGTGAGGGGACTGTGAGGGGTTAGGGCTTCGCGGGGCTGGGACCTGCAGATCACATCCGTCGCTGCCAATGTGATGGGATGTCGGGCCAATGCATGGCCATGGCCGTAGTCGCCCAAGAGGCCCGAGCCGGGCCGGGTCAGCACAGCAGAGGCATGAGCACTGCAAACTTCAACACAACGATTGCAACCCAAGTGCCATGAAAAATGATGAAAAATGCAGTGATCTTCATCCAATCTTCAAAACCAGTTCAAACTTGCGAGGCAAGTCGTCACGCACCTGCTCTCAGCTTGCGCCACTTAGAAAGCTTGACAGACCCATAAACCGAGTATATCACCTAGCATGCCTGATTCCCATCAGAATTCGTCTGGCGCAGCTTCCAAACACAGCTGAGCAGATTGACTCAACCGCGGTCTCCAAGTCTCCAAGGTCCGTGGTTATTCAGAACCAAAGATCTCGAATTTTCGAAGTCAGATGTCAGAGGACAAGCCTTGAGCGATGCACCAGCTCAAGGCTGCCGATTGTGCCACAAATATTGCCGATCTTGCTGCTAGGGGTGGATTCTGCAAGAGAGGACTGAGCCGCAAAGTTTGTGAGGAAGAGTTTCAGACTTGCCTAGCCCTTGGAAGCTTGCAATTACAATCTATTTTGCACAGTGCGGAGACAGTGTGGTGAAATCCTGCAGGCCTGCCTTGCAAATGCCCAAGCCGTTGAAGACAAGTCCTGCAAGAAGACCCACCATTCAGGATGCATTCCCTGCCGTGGTGCTCGTCCCACAGGCTCATGAACAAGTCTCTTCTTTCATGCGAGTCTGCACTCTCAGCGTAGTCCCTCGGAGGCCGGACTTTAAATGTTGGCCTCCCCGCACTACGACCACTGCAACAAGCCCCGAGAGTCCCACAGCACTCAGACAATATGCCTATGGCATCGCATGGCCTATATTGCTGCCCGTCTGTTCTCAGGGATGCATTGTGCAGCCGGGTCGCAAGAGTACTTCGGTAGAAATTGAAAGCAAAGGATTGAGACCCTAGCTGGATGCAGTGGCACAAGCCACGATCCTCCAGGCATTGCAAAAAAACACTACAAGCCTCTGAGCTGCATAATTTACAGCTCTGCAAAGACCTCTTTGGCAGCGGCAATAGTCTTCCTCGGCAGCACGGCACACTGCGAACGCTTCATCCAAGGCCACATAGAGAGAACGTTGTTCTGCCAAGGCACTCAATGTCCTCCTCTGTGTGGGCAAGCGATGTGAAACCCGCTTCGTACTGTGAGGGTGCCAAATAAATCCCCTGTCCAGGGGACCAGGGACGACAACTCATCTACTGCTGCGAGAGATTGCTCGAGTGTTACCAAGCTGCAAACCGCCTTCTTCAGCATCATTCGGTGCCACTTAGCGAACTTCTCGGTGTCACTTTTTGTGGCATCCGCGAAGCACGTGACAGGACCCTCGCAAAAGAAGAAGCCGAACATGCCGCTGATGTGACCACCGCAGACCTTCAAGTGACAAAACAAGCAGCAGGCTGGCAGAACTTCGCTGGCAAGGACAGTCATGCTCCGAAGCAGTCTCGCATTCCCGGGGCCTTGTGTCCATTCTCTCGTGCGGCATCTAGAATGCCTAGGTTGCAAGCAGATTCTGTTGTAGGCATGCTACTGCTGTGATGGATTCCTGAGGTCTGTCTCACGGGATGTCGCAGGATGCCGTCTGAGAGAGCCCAGACAAGTCTAATCTAATCTGATGTTACTTGGTCTACTGGCACAGCGTATCCGATGGACCCACTTCCGATTGAGAAGACAACGGCTTTGTGAATGCATTCAGCTTCTCACATCGCAGGCAAAGTTGCCATTGATGAGCTTGCTTGTGATCTTATCGAGGTGTTCGTAGCTGCCAGGCTCCTGTCCAGCTAGCTCCGAGGGCAAGCAAGATTCAGTTGGCACGTGATTCTTCCTTGCATAGGATGGAGTTTTGGAGCAACTGTCCTTCAACCTCTTCAGCGTCTCGATTCCAGCTGTCATGGCAAGTGGGTTGCCGCTGAGTGTACCGGCCTGGTACATGGGCCCTGCCGGCGCTACCATCTCCATGATGTCCTTGCGGCCGCCGTAGGCGCCCACTGGCAGACCGCCTCCGATTACTTTACCTGCAAGGAACATGGCCATGCTGCTTGACACTACAATGGCTCACAAGCGACGGGACCTGAACGGGCTTGACTCAATACCGAAAAGAACACCCAGGGAGGGTCTACAAGTCGTGACGACGAACAGCTGAATGCAAGGCACCCATCGTCGTGACGTCTGGAGTCACGCCGAAGTGTTCCTGGGCGCCACCATAAGCAATGCGGAAGCCGGTCATGACTTCGTCAAAGACCAGCAGAGCACCGTACTTGGTGGTGAGTTCTCTCAGGCCTTCAAGGAATTCCTTGGTGGGTGGGATGAAGCCCGAGTTTCCCACGACGGGTTCCAAGATGACGGCCGCCACCTCGTTTTCCTTCAAGAGCTCCTCGACGGATTCCAAGTTGTTGTACTGTGCACACAATGTGCTGGTGGTTGCACCCTTGGGAACCCCCGGAGAGTCCGGCAGTCCAAGCGTGGCGACACCAGAGCCGGCTTGTACCAAAAAAGCGTCGCCATGGCCATGGTAGCAACCCTCGAACTTGATGACCACATCCCTTTTGGTGAAGGCTCGGACAAGGCGGAGCATTCCCATGCAGGCCTCCGTGCCGCTGTTGGTGAAGCGCACCATCTCTACAGAAGGCACAGCATCGATCACCATCTTAGCCAGCTCGTTCTCAAGAGCACAGGGTGCGCCGAAGGAGGTGCCCTTCTGCATCTGCTCGTTCAGTGCCTTCAGAACGGTGTCATCTGCGTGTCCGATGATAGCAGGGCCCCAAGTTCCAACATAGTCAACGTACTCGTTACCGTCAACATCCCATGCATTGGCACCTTTCACGCGGTCGAAGACAACTGGGTTGCCTCCAACTGACTTGAAGGCCCGGACAGGGCTGGACACTCCACCCGGCATGAGCGTCTTCGCCTCAGTGAAGACTTCCTCTGACTTCACGGTGTCAAAGCCACCACGGGCCTTCTGCTGTGTGCGGACACGGCGGCCCTTCCCCGAACCCACAGCCACGGCCATGCCGGCAGCAGCAGAGGCCAAGACAACAGTAGAGGAGCTTGAAGCTGTGGATGGCGCCTGGCTTGAGACGTGAGATGCCCTGAGGTGCCCTCGGTTCTCTTGCTTTCCTGCAGCTGGCACGAAGGCACTTTGCAGTGCTCCAGATGCGTAGGCACCAGCACCAATTGCGCAGAAAGCTGCAATCTCAGTCTTCATCCTGGCTACGAAGCACAAACTGAGTTTGCCAACAAAACTTCTACGCCAATGGGCTTATGGTCAGCTATCTCGAGCCACAATGCAAGCAATGGCGCGCATTGCAATTGCACAAGCTGCTATACCAGTAACAGGTTCTACATGGTTCTACTGCACTGCTGCCGTACTGCACAGTCCTGTGATGACATGCACTGCGCTTTCTCGACCACAGCATCTTGTAACGCAGCAAGAAGAGGACCATCAAACCTCGTAACTGTAGCAACTGAAAACACAATGAGCGAGTAGATGCTTGGATCGAGTGCATGACACCTGAAGCCTCGCAAATGCCCAGCAGGAAGTCGTGAGCCTTGGGAAAACCAGCAAACCCGGAGAAAGGTGTCAGCCCTTCCTCCCGGTGATTTCATTCACAAAGCTCGAGCTGAAGGCACAGTCGGAACTCTTTCTGAGTGTAGGTCTGCTTCATGTCCAAAAAACATCGATCCGGCCTCGGCTGAGTCAGCCGGAGGTCTCTGTGGCAAAACGCGAAATCCGAGTCGTGTGCAGTAGGAACTTCCGGTAGACGTCCAGAAGGCCGCTGACCCTTCGGTCCTGCGCGTTCCAGCATCGCGCCGCCCAACAGCTGGAAGCCAAGTGCACGCACTGTCCTTGCCATTCGCCTTAAACTCGCGATCTCGCGCCAGTGTCTGCAGAGCCTTGTCTCAGGCATCAACCGGTCTATGAAGTGTGGCCACCTGCAGACAATGATCCTGCATCCAGTTTGGAATGGCCCGCACAGCCACGGCCCCATCAAGGGTCATGTGATCGGCACAATTGTCGGCAACCTTCAAAATTTGCCCAACCTGCGTCGACCGTCCAGATCCAAGTGCAACTGCAGGAAGTAATCGAAGTACTGTTTTACCCCAGCTGAGTCTTTTTCGAATCGACAATGCAAAGCCGCGCAAGCTACAACCGGGCAAACGCACCAGCCCTCCGTCATCTAGGAGTGGCCTGGCATTGCGCAAGTTGTCGCTTAACCTCAGCTATTTCCACTGTTCCCGTTCCACCGATAGGAAACAACTCGCACTTATTCGTTTCACATCCTTTCCCTTGCATGACGCATTGTTGAGACTGCAACCCGCTGGGAAAGCTCTCGCTGAGCAGCTCCACCACGCAAATTCCGCAGCCCAGCAACCTGCAATACTTCACTTTCCAATGACCCCGGCAGAAACAGAACAGAAGACAGAAGCAGCAGTCCTGGGTGAAACGGCCGGGGGACTTGTGTCCCTGCTGAACTGGCGATGAGGACGAAGCGCTGCCACGGCAGCCACTGCAGCCTGCAGGTGGACAAGGGGCCCCATTGAACCATGGAAAGCCAATGAGACTGCACATGATTGCCTGGAAAAAGTGAGAAAGCGGCGGCTGAGCCTTGCTGATCCCTGGAGACATGTGACATGGCACAACCATGCGAAACTCGTTTGGGCGCAAATGTTGAAAAATATAAGACAACATGCCTTGCCTGCTCATCGGATTGCAGCTCGGCTGCTTGTCTCTCATCCCATGGCCACGTCACCACTTCATGGCAACTGTAGCGGCATACATCGCTGCAGTCGCTGCACCGGCCTTTGCCCAAAGCTTCAATGCATGTCCCGCACTTTTAACGAATCCGTGAGCCCAGAACCTTTCTGGGCATTGCCGCAGAAAGCTCCCTTCGCCTTCAAGACTCCTCAAAATGCAGAATATCTGCAAACTGGCATGCTACAGAATTAGTGGTGGCAGTCCTCGCATAAAGCGGCAACGACGACAGCATCCGGCATTCAACTAGGGCCACAGCACGATAAGTATCAACAAGTGATGAAAACGCACGCCTGGTAAATGTTGTCAAACATCTGATCAATATCTTCTGTGCGGCTGCGCCTCCTCCGCACTGTTGCGACATATCACGACTTCAATGAGAGATTGTACGCTGATTTTGCATGACATGGAGGTCCCACATTCCTGCACCAGTGTCGGCTGACTTACTTTACGTTTGATCTCTTGGTCTCAAAACGCCACGCGTACCAGCCATGACCACTGCCAACTCATTACTGACGCTTGAAATTGTGCCAAGATGCTGCGACACTGGAACTGTGCGGCCAAAAAACCACATGAAGGGGGCAACAATGTCGGACAGCAGCTGCACACATCAAATGCTGGGAAAAGAAACTCAAGCAACCTTTGTCTACAGCACTTTGCTCCACGGCACCACATGATAATGCAATGCATGTAGACTGTGTTGATACAAAGCCCATCTTTTTGCATAGAAAGCGTGCACGATGGCGACGGACGTAATCTGTGTTTTTTTTGGCCCTGTCCAAACTTACCTGTGCGCATTCCATTGAAAACAGCTTCGTCCTCGCAAAGCCAAACAAGGCAGCTTCTGCAATCCCCAATGCAAAATGCACAAAACACCAAGCTTCGAAAACCAAAACTGCTAGAGACCAACTTTGAACACTCCAAATCCGAAAATGATCAAACTGAAGAAACTAATCTATGTGCGAACGGAAAATGCACGTGTAGCAGCCTCAAAATTTTGACAAAACAACCAAGAGCTGCACAACGTTTGAAAGCAACACGGTTTGCAGTTCAGAGACATTGAATGACCAAAACTGTCACAAAATATGTTGCTGTTGCTCGGTTCATAAAAGTCCAAAATTAAAGGTTGCCAAACATTCGGACAAACACTCGACGACTAGGATAAAAACATTCAGAACACCATCAAAACACCAGTCGAGTGTTGGCAGCCCACTCAAGCAGAGAGCTTCGAAGCGTTTTGTCAACAATTTGCCAGCTAGGACTTGGATGGGTTGTTGATCAGCCACAGCACTGCCATTCTTGCGGCGCGCCGGCGCCTCCAAAATTTTTTCATTGTGGTGTGCCCTGAACTGCATTGACACGGTTAGTGGATATGCGTCCACACGACGGCGCAGCAGCATTCTGCCCACATTGCAGTGGTACGCATGGCCACTAACCAAGGCTCCGGCAACACTTAGTGGTTAGGTGGGTTTCGGGAAATACGGAGTTAACTACTCAGCGCTCTACGCATAGTGACAGGTGGCAGCAAAAGGTTTCTCATTCAGCCAAATCACTTGGAGCCATCGATGTATCTCGGTCATGTCACGGACGCTATGGGAGGACAGGTGAAAAGGCACAGGTTTGCGACGGCAAAAACCGGTCAACAGTTGATACACAAAAGGTTTTTATGACCAGATCACGAGCCAGAAGCCAACATTTCAGCTGTCTGATTGAACTTTCTACTGCGGTTCTTTCCCTCCGACAACATTTTTTGGCTGGGTTGAGAGCTCTTCGACAAGATCAGTCTGGGGCGAAGTGAAGCGGATACGCGATTTTGCTTTTTGTGGCTTTTCAAAGTGCCACAGTGAGCTTGCTGAGAGCAACGCGAGAATGTTTTTGTTTGAATTTACGGGCTTCTTGGCGCATTTGCACAGGAAGCTTGGAGACGTTGAGTCAAGAGCGTTGCAACGTCGCAGACCTCAGTGGCTGCGACCAGCGCTCGATCCCAAAGAAACATCCAATCGAAACAAAGCCGTTCAGCATTAGGAAATAGGAAAAAAACTGACAGCCCTGTCCCTCCAAGACTGTAGAGCGACCATACCAAGCACCATGTAATAAAAGGACAGATCCGACGCGCGCTGCTCAGGAAAAACGCCCATGCCCAGCTTCCCACCATGGTGGGCCTCGCAAGGGCAAGGGCTAATCGGAGCAAGAAGTGTCCCGGCACGCAAATCGGCAGCGGAGATCGCAGGCGCGTAATGGAGAGCTCATCCAAGGGCTCCATAGAAAACCAATGATGCAGACAGCAAAGGGCCTCAGAGTCGCAGATGATCCAGGTCGCAAATCTCGACCCTCCCCGCCACCGCCGCGAAGCCGAATGGCAGGGCAGGGCTGTAATGTGGCCTCAAAGCTCGAGGTGGCAGAGCTTGTGCAGGTACTGCAGCTGCAGAGGCCTGTGGTGCACGAAATCCCCAAAATGAACCGCGAGGTTCCACGGCCAATGCTTTTTTTTTGGCGTGGGCGGGCCTCAATGACAGCAGGTTGCTGCACTCGGTCCCAGCAAGAACTACAAGAATGCCAAGAACAAAATCAGCTGTACAAAGAAAAGACGATAATAACAAGGTGAGACAGGCCGCGGCTAGCAGACTTAGCCGGCAGACGTCGTTCGGCAAGACATGCTCAAAGCTAGCAACTACCACCGCTCAGATGCCCGGCTTCCCAGTCGTACTGAGTTGCGCAATGGCACATAAATTGCCCAGCATCCAATGGGGGCGGGCAACTTAAGACAACCCTCCCGTTCATTGCGTACTTGGCCCAGCTTCCCAGAGAGGGCCTCGCAAGGGCAAGACAGAGAGGCGCTTGGCGTAGAGGGAAGCGCCCAAGCACCCTGACAGAAGCAGAGAGCGTGCCGCAGTGGCAAGTGCGTGAGCACGTTAATTCGAGCCCAGCTTCCCAAAATGTGGGCCTCGCAAGGGCAGATGCACTGATGTTCGCACAATGACACCAAACGAGGCAGCGCTGGACAGGCCGTGCTGGACAATCAGCAGCGTGCAGGGCGCCACGCGTTCCAAGCCCAGCTTCCTGGGTCTCGCAAGGGCAGAGAGAAAAACAGGGTTCTATCAGACCGTGAAGCGTTTGGCTCTGCGACCACGCCCCGGCAAGGTTCAACTGCGTGATGACCAAGACCAATTGCTCCGGCCCAAAGCTGAACTTGATGCAATCCACAAACACTGGTCTAAGAACTTTGATGCGCCGTCTTTGCCAGATCAGCAGTGGGTTCTTCAGTCGTCTACGCGTTCTGGATGAAGTGCCATCCTCCGAAACCTACCTGTTCATAAAGCAGCCCAGGGTGTGTCCCAGCAATTGGCTGGAAGGTCTGTGCAGAACAGCTCGCTTAGTCCATGCTAACTGCCGGGGCCCAAGCGGATCAACATGTGGTACCCTGAGCGCTTCTTCTTGATGGGCCGCCACACATTGGATGGACGCTTTGCAGAAATTATCCGACAGGATTTTACCAATGTGTCTATGGCTCCCGCTGATTACGAGCCAAAAACTCTTGGTGAAGGCCTCCGTCTAGAAGACTGGATCGCGGCGGCCCGGCAATTTAGGGCGCAAGGAGGATTGGCCCCTTTTGGGCAGACTGGTCCCTGGTTACCACAAGCCATCCACAACGTATTTGTTCAACAGGCCAGCTTGTTGGACGTCAGGATCGAGGCGAATGGACCTTCACGCTTCCCCTGAAAAGAAGCAGCCGCCAATCAACGATGCACCACAGCTGCGTGGTCGAATGACCCGGATCCGCCACCATTGTCTGACCTGATAACCGACTCCGCTTAACAACCGTTTTGCTGTTTCTTCAAAAACGTCCATGCTGTAAAAACTCACGTCCATCGTGCGAAAACTCGTGCTCATGCCATGCAAACTGGTGAAGAAACCGACTGACCGACCGACCACTGGAAAGAACTCGACCGACCATGTTGTTGCGACGAAACATTGCGGAAGGATGTTTTGGAACCACTGCGCCGTGCCACGATCCGGCTCTTTTACTTTATCATGAAGTCGCCCAGGTCTCCACCCAAGACAGTTGAAACATACGAGTCCAGGCCTATCTTCTTGTTTGCTGGGGACTGTACAAGTTTCTTCGACAGCTCCTGCCCTGATCACAACATTGGCCCAGACAATCCTAGTCTCAATCGCACGTGAGAGAGGTGCACGCGTTCAAGATTGCAGCGTTCTGTCGATTGCAAGTGCTGGTTGAAAGACTCGAAGTTCGAATTGTCCGATGATCCACACCTAGAAGCAAGCTGCAGTCGAGAAGCCACCTACACCGCAAACCTTCCAGGAAAAAAACGCAGGTTCAAACCCAGGTAACACCCAGAAGAGCTTCAAGGCAGGCCTAGAATTGATTTAGAGAACAGCCTAAAGAGGCCTGAGCAAGAGATTTGAAGGAGAACCTTCTTCTTCGACACGAAAAAGCCCACACGAAATCGCTCAAGAGTTTTAAGCGAACAACAGAAGCAAAAACTGAAAAATCAGAGACACACAAAGGCCGCATAAAATCGTTCAGCGGAGCTGCGCTTCCCTCCAACTTCCCCGTTTTTTCAAATTGCAAACTCTCCGCATCCAGCGACCCTTCGGCGAAGGGCTTCGAAGCCTTCAAGCCTTCGAAGCTGAAGGGTCGAAGGGTGCGGGGGGGGGGGGGCGCCGAAGGGAGGAAGGCTTCGAAGGCTTCAAAGCCTTCGAAGGGGGCCGTGAAGGCTTTGAAGCCTTCGAACAGGGGGCTGAAGGGGGCGGATGAAGGGGGCGGGGGGGGCTTCAAAGCCTTCGAGGCCGTGAAGGCTTGAAGTCTTCGAAGGGAAGATGTCGAAGGAGGCGGATGAAGGGGGGGGGGGCTTCGAAGCCAAGGCCCTGACTCGAACACCACAGTTGTCTCCAAACTTCCAGTTCGAACACGAAGTTTAGCTTCCAGTTGATCTCCAAGGAACATGAGAAACTTCCAGTTCAACTCCAGTTCGAACATGGAGGATGGTGTTCGAACCTGGAGTTCGAACACTGGTGTTCGAACCTGAGGTTCGAACAACCAGTGTTTGAACTCCGGGTTCGAACACTGGTGTTCGAACTCTGGGCATGTTCAACTTAGGGTTCGAACACTAGTGGTTGGGGTTTGGTGAATGTTCCTCTCTTTTTCTTTTCTTCGCAAAAAGCTGCGATTTCGTGTGGCTTCTCTTCTTTCTTGTGTTTGTAAAGCAGTTTATAGACTTGTGTTCGAACACCAGTGTTTGAACTTAGCTGCTCCTCATAGTGGTCTCCAACCCACACTACCAAGACGCTTCGCACCCTCAGTGTAGCAAAAGCAAATGCTTCCTTCAGCCAGTCAGAGTCAAAACGCAGAGCGGACCACATCTCTTGAACAGAAATGGAGCCTCCACCTTATCTTTTTGCCGGGCGCGGCGTCGCCCGCGGTAAACTTAACCACTTAAAACGCCGCGCCGCCCGCAGGGCGGCGTCAGCCGCGCCGCTCCAGATGCCACGCCCCCTTTTTCGCTGGCAAGCGCACCCAAAACCGCTCCGCCGGCTCCTTTGGCGCACCTTTCGGAAGGCGTGGCGCCTGGAGCGGCGCACGCCCGGACTTGGTTGCCAAGCCCTGCCTGGAAGGCAGGCCTCCAAACACCACCTCAAAACCTTCGTGTCAGGTCAAGTCTCCCAGAACCACGTCTGCTACTTTGACTTTGGGTCCAGACAGTCAGCACCGCCTCAAAACCTTGCCCTCTAAGGTCAAGTCTCCCAGAACCACGTCTGCCACTTTGACTTTGGACTCCAAGGTCAAGTCTCCCCGCAATACGTCTGCTACTGCGACTGCGAATCCAGGCAGTCAACACCACCTCAAAACCTTCGCCTGTCAGGTCAAGTCTCCCAGAACCACGTCTGCTACTTTGACTTTGGGTCCAGACAGTCAGCACCGCCTCAAAACCTTGCCCTCTAAGGTCAAGTCTCCCAGAACCACGTCTGCCACTTTGACTTTGGACTCCAAGGTCAAGTCTCCCCGCAATACGTCTGCTACTGCGACTGCGAATCCAGGCAGTCAACACCACCTCAAAACCTTCGCCTGTCAGGTCAAGTCTCCCAGAACCACGTCTGCTACTTTGACTGCGAATCCAGACAGTCAACACCACCTCAAAACCTTCGCCTGTCAGGTCAAGTCTCCCAGAACCACGTCTGCTACTTTGACTTTGGGTCCAGACAGTCAACACAGCCTCAAACCTTGGGGTCTCAGGTCAAGTCTCTCAGAAGCACGTCTGCTGCTGTGACTGCGTCACCGAACAGTCAACACCACCTTTAAGTCAGAGCCAAACTCTCAAAACCACGTATGGTCTTTTGACTTCTTGGCCAAAGCGCCCAAAACCCATTTTTGCTATCACAAAAACTAAAAACAAAATCTCTAACAGAACATCCTAAGTCCTAAAGGTCCCAAAATTCGCAAAGTTCAAACAGAAGAGCTGCAAAGCATATTTCTGCGCTGGCAGCGGCGCAGTTGCGGTTTCAGCTGAGCAACCGAATTGGAATGCCTTCATACGGGTCGGCATCCGAAACTTCGCAAACTTCGGGCTCACTCTCGAGATCGGCAAAAGGATTCTCATCATCGGGGGGCACATCAGCGCCACCAGCCGGAATGTCTTGGACATTTGGAGCTGCTGCCCCTGCAACTTGCCCTTCAACAAGTTGCTGGTTTTCGGCAGTTGGCGGCTTTCCATCACCCAAAAATGGCTTTAGGGTTTCCCAAGAAGCACTTCCGACAGCTGTTCGCTCAGCCTGGCGAAGTGCTGCGAAAACTTGGAAACAGTCTGCATAGGAAAACCAAAACAAAAACTGAAACACCCGCATCCTTTCGTGAAGCTGCTGTTCGAAAGTTTGCGCTGTTTCAGGGGTGGGTCCTGTTGTGTTGAAAGACCGCTTGCCCACCTCTCTTCTAAACGATGCGAAGAAGCCATCAAGCTTCTGAGTGCCACCTGCCCTAATTTCTTCGGTCCAAGCGCGCCCTGTCCAAACTTTCATTCGGAACGTTCGGGCAAACTCTGGGTGAGGCGGCTTATGCTTGACGTTGCTGTGGGCTAGCTTCAACTCAGAAAACGAAGGCCCTGCCAAGGCACCGCTGTACAAAGCTGGCAACGGTTCGTCAGAGGCCAACTTCTTGTAAGCTTTAGCGGAATCCGTATGGCACACAGAACCTTGTGCCAAGCGACTGCTTCCCTTGGATGTGACTACAAGCTTCTTAAGCTCATCAATGGACAGAGGTCCCCCTCCCCCCTGCCCAGCAGCAGTCAAGCGGTTCGGCAACTTCTCTATGAAGGCTTTAGCACTTCCACGCTTGACGGCTGCGGCATAACGATTCCACAGGATCTTGTCGTCAAGCGCCTTCGATCTGAAGCTAATCTCATCGAGCTCCACATCTGCACCCAACGCACCAATCACCAAGTCCTTCATCGAGCACTTTAAAGTTGTAACTACAACTTCTAAATCTTGTCATGGCCTTAAGAATCAAGCCAAGCATAAAAGTTTGTCAGTCCTCGTTCAGCCGGTCAACTATTGGACTCAACCAAGAGCGGAAGTTGTTGAAGAGACCCCGCACTGTCCGATGATCCAAACCCAAGATCAATCCAGTCTGATCTGGACTCATCTGAATGGGTGCAAGAAACAGCCAGAGAGCACCAACCAAGGAACGAAGGGCGATCTTTTTGCCGAAGATGTCCTGGTCTTCGCTCAAACCCGACTTAGATGCCCGACAATCCTTGTTCTTGCATCTAAAACAGGCGTGGTCCCCCTTGGACTCGATACGCCAGTTTGTGGCTGCACACCATTCACAAGCATCAAGTCCTCCATCCTTCACCATGCCCAAGTCAATCAGAATTTCAAGCAGTTCTTTGGGAGAAGAGGTCAAAATGCCGTCCAGAGAGAAACGCTGGGTCAAAGACGATCTGCTCAAAGTTGCTTGTCTGCCTCTTTTTCGCTGTGGACTTTCCTGGCGAGGATCAGTGTACGCACGTCGCGGCACCTCATTTTTGGATTCAAACATGTCTTGCAAGGCTGCAGCCGCAGGTCTCTTCATGGGTTTTGCTCTGGAGGAAGAAGCTGGCTCCGTCCGATCATCTTCCTCATTCCGAGCTCCAGGTTGCCGTGACTTTGGAATTCTGGATCTAGTTCTGCGATCACGACCTGCTGGACCCATCTGAACTTGCCCTCCAGCTTCCCAACGAGCAGCCATTGCTGTCGTCGCTGTTCGCGCCATAGCAGTTCCAAAAAGTTTGATCCAAGGAAAAGACTGCAACAACATTTTTGAAACGGCACACCCACACCCACACTCCCGGCTTCTTTACACACACAGACACACAGACACACACACACACACACACACACACACACACACACGCAGAGACACAGACACAGAGACACACACACACACAAACACACACACACGCACACACACAGACACACAAACACACACACACACACATACACACAGCTGGATTCGGCCAAGAGAGCAAGAAGAGGAGAGTATGTTGTATGTTGTTATCTAATCTTGCTGCCTCAGGGGGCCAGCTGGGCAACCGTACAAATTGTTTGTCTAATCTGGACACCACAGGGGGCCTGTCCTCAGACTAATCTTGGCACCACAGGGGGCTGCCGAAAATTGTGCAGGTACATGACTGAGCGTCCTCAATCACTTCCCTTCCAGTGACCTAGCTTCGTTGGATCAGGTCAGTCACTGGAAGCCTGATCCCCCTGCAATCGTGTAGGAGTGACCCTCTGCTCCCATGTGCTAGGGAGGTTCACACACACACAGCCCCACCTTGGGGCGACTGTGTGCAGTGGAATAAAACCGCGCCAGGGCTCCAAGACCTAAAACGAACCCCAAACTAAACCACAAGACCCTGAGGGCTGCAATGCCCGTTTGCAAAGCATGTTGATGTGGTCCAGAATGTAGCAATGTTGTGGTAGTCCAAGCTGTGGTGAGGCGTTAAAGTTAGGGTTCAGGACTGTCCTTCAGCTGGGCACGCAAGCCCCCAGAAGCGACAGAGGGGAAGGGCGGCTGATCAGCTGCCCTTGCGAGGGCCCAGATCCAGCCAGGTACTGTTCCTCAGCTGGGCGCGACGTCCCCCAAAGGCAACAGTAATAAGGGTTAACAGAGAAGACTGCTACCCAGCTACCCTCGAAGGGGTCCAGGGCTAGCAGCTTCTGACCAATGTATTGCACATGTGGTTGTATGTTGTAATTAGGGTGGTGAGATTAGGGTGAGGACACTCCTTCCAGCTGCCATCAAAGACCCAGGAACGGAGTGACTACAGCCCAGCTACCCGAGCAGGGTCCAAGGCCAGTAGCAGGATTAGGGAACTCCACCCTCCAGCTGTGTAGCAAAAGACACCCAGGAGCGGCGGACCATCCTCCAGCTGTGCAGAAAAGCACCCAGGAGCAATGGAATGAGAGGTACCACGTCCTGCGTGGTCCTCAACTTAACGTGTGGGGTTAGGGGGAGAGAAAAGCGAGAGGCCGATTACTTCCCGGAGGAAGCGCTGCTTCACTTGCACTAGACGAAGGTTACCACACCTGCCCTCATGTCAGTTGCACATGCCCTTGCATTCCCTGAGAAATAAAGAAGCGATCGAATAGGGGGACAGAATAGCGAGGTAATCCTGTGCACTAGCGGCCGGTTACTGCACTAGACGTCGGTTACTGCACCTGCACTCATGTCAGACGCACATGCGAGCATCAGAGAGAGAGAGAGAGATAAAGTAGCATCGGGAGAATCTGAACGATCTGAACGAAGGCTGAACACCCGGTTCATCACCGGTCTCCCCGGAGGGTCACCACGGCGCCATGACGGAAAGCCGTTGCTCTGGAGTCTCAACGACCCACGCTGATCACACTGATGGATTCGGCCAAGAGTACGAGTGCAAGAGGAAAAAAGAGAGGCATGTTGTTGTTGTTGCAAAAGCTTGTCAGATTGCGGCAACCGTACAAATTGTTTGTCTAATCTGGACACCACAGGGGGCCTGTCCTCAAACTAATCTTGGCACCACAGGGGGCTGCCGAAAATTGTGCAGGTACATGACTGAGCGTCCTCAATCACTTCCCTTCCAGTGACCTAGCTTCGTTGGATCAGGTCAGTCACTGGAAGCCTGATCCCCCTGCAATCGTGTAGGAGTGACCCTCTGCTCCCATGTGCTAGGGAGGTTCACACACACACACACACAGCTGGATTCGGCCAAGAGAGCAAGAAGAGGAGAGTATGTTGTATGTTGTTATCTAATCTTGCTGCCTCAGGGGGCCAGCTGGGCAACCGTACAAATTGTTTGTCTAATCTGGACACCACAGGGGGCCTGTCCTCAGACTAATCTTGGCACCACAGGGGGCTGCCGAAAATTGTGCAGGTACATGACTGAGCGTCCTCAATCACTTCCCTTCCAGTGACCTAGCTTCGTTGGATCAGGTCAGTCACTGGAAGCCTGATCCCCCTGCAATCGTGTAGGAGTGACCCTCTGCTCCCATGTGCTAGGGAGGTTCACACACACAGCCCCACCTTGGGGCGACTGTGTGCAGTGGAATAAAACCGCGCCAGGGCTCCAAGACCTAAAACGAACCCCAAACTAAACCACAAGACCCTGAGGGCTGCAATGCCCGTTTGCAAAGCATGTTGATGTGGTCCAGAATGTAGCAATGTTGTGGTAGTCCAAGCTGTGGTGAGGCGTTAAAGTTAGGGTTCAGGACTGTCCTTCAGCTGGGCACGCAAGCCCCCAGAAGCGACAGAGGGGAAGGGCGGCTGATCAGCTGCCCTTGCGAGGGCCCAGATCCAGCCAGGTACTGTTCCTCAGCTGGGCGCGACGTCCCCCAAAGGCAACAGTAATAAGGGTTAACAGAGAAGACTGCTACCCAGCTACCCTCGAAGGGGTCCAGGGCTAGCAGCTTCTGACCAATGTATTGCACATGTGGTTGTATGTTGTAATTAGGGTGGTGAGATTAGGGTGAGGACACTCCTTCCAGCTGCCATCAAAGACCCAGGAACGGAGTGACTACAGCCCAGCTACCCGAGCAGGGTCCAAGGCCAGTAGCAGGATTAGGGAACTCCACCCTCCAGCTGTGTAGCAAAAGACACCCAGGAGCGGCGGACCATCCTCCAGCTGTGCAGAAAAGCACCCAGGAGCAATGGAATGAGAGGTACCACGTCCTGCGTGGTCCTCAACTTAACGTGTGGGGTTAGGGGGAGAGAAAAGCGAGAGGCCGATTACTTCCCGGAGGAAGCGCTGCTTCACTTGCACTAGACGAAGGTTACCACACCTGCCCTCATGTCAGTTGCACATGCCCTTGCATTCCCTGAGAAATAAAGAAGCGATCGAATAGGGGGACAGAATAGCGAGGTAATCCTGTGCACTAGCGGCCGGTTACTGCACTAGACGTCGGTTACTGCACCTGCACTCATGTCAGACGCACATGCGAGCATCAGAGAGAGAGAGATAAAGTAGCATCGGGAGAATCTGAACGATCTGAACGAAGGCTGAACACCCGGTTCATCACCGGTCTCCCCGGAGGGTCACCACGGCGCCATGACGGAAAGCCGTTGCTCTGGAGTCTCAACGACCCACGCTGATCACACAGCTGGATTCGGCCAAGAGAGCAAGAAGAGGAGAGTATGTTGTATGTTGTTATCTAATCTTGCTGCCTCAGGGGGCCAGCTGGGCAACCGTACAAATTGTTTGTCTAATCTGGACACCACAGGGGGCCTGTCCTCAGACTAATCTTGGCACCACAGGGGGCTGCCGAAAATTGTGCAGGTACATGACTGAGCGTCCTCAATCACTTCCCTTCCAGTGACCTAGCTTCGTTGGATCAGGTCAGTCACTGGAAGCCTGATCCCCCTGCAATCGTGTAGGAGTGACCCTCTGCTCCCATGTGCTAGGGAGGTTCACACACACACACACACACACACACACACACACACACACGCAGACACACACACGCACCCACACGCACACACAACGCACCCACACAAACACACACACACAACACACACACACCCATGCACACACTTGACTTGATCCACACTCTAGTGAAGTTAGAGGAGGGACTTGGAGCAAAGATGTCCAGGTTTTTGTCAGCAAGGTCATGATCTGAAGTTGGATGCCGCCGCCCACAATGTCGGAACTAAAGCGAGCGCAACTGTAATGTCAGTGTGATGTATGTGGTACTCAATCCTGACGATTCCACGGAGTGACGTTTGTAAACGGACTATTGTTACCAGCTGGAAAGCGCAGGGGAGATCTTTGCTGTGACAGCAGGCCAGATATCAATGGACAGAAGCCTGCCAGAGAAAACAGGCAGCAACCACGTTGAACACCAAATAAAGATCATTCAGAGCTGGAGAATGCCCGGCCAAGCAGAAAGAAGGCCTGAAGCGGAGAACGCAGTGCAATGGGAGCTTTCCAATTTTTTTGGGCTGTAGCACTCGGTCCCCACAAACAAACAATCCTAAACAAACCAAAACAACAGTAACAAGACGACAATTAACAGAGGTCGACAGCTAGCTGCGGCGCACAGACTTTGCCGGTGTTGGCCGTTCAGCACAAGCTACGGTGCCTCAGCAACCGATCCACAACAACCCGTGTGCCGTTGCTCAGAGCTGTCCAAAACCATCGGTGGAGCCCAAGTCAAAGCTCCGCCCGCCGTTCTAGTTCCGTCGAACAACAGACAGCCCGAGGTATTCTTGCGTCACGATGCACGGAAATCCACGGAACCGACAACCAGTGACGGGTGCCAGATTGAAAAGACCCTTCGAGGTATGTCGGTCATGGACAGTGGAACTGGAGCCAGCTTCCTCAACGAAGAAGGTTCCTTGGATGA